TGAGATTAATAAAAAATACCAGAAAGTGTATAATTTATCCAAAGGGTTTTAGAGAGGCAATTCCTTTTTTTGCCAAAATATGTACAAGAGCCATAACTGTTGGGGGAGCATTGTGTATTTTCCTCAGTCCTTGTCCCTAACACAACAAAGAATTGAAGGGCAGAGACACAGTAGTGAAGCAGAGTAACAGTTTTATTTAAAGTTACTTAAAGAGAGAAAAAGTACAGGCCACCTCAGCAAGGAGAGGGGCCCTGAAAGTTTGGAGAGAGAAAGTTTAAAAACTAACACACTTATAAAATGCAGGTGATCTCAGAGAGAGAGTGCCCTGAAAGGTTGGGGGTTCCGCCTTTTAAGGATTCTTCTAGAATGTGACTAAGGTCTGGGGGTGCAGACTTGTTAAGTGGTCTCCGAATATTTAGAATTAACACAAGGAACTTACTGCTCTGATTTCTCCCTGAGAGAACCGGCATCTTGGTCTGGGAGCATATCAAACAAGACCACCTGCCCAGCCCCCAAGGTAGGCTGAGTTATTCTCTGTTTGCTAAAGAGTAAATTAAGAATCTTACTTCTTAACTTCCTGGGTGTTAAAATGCAATCTTATCTTTAAGATGAAATCCTTCCTGCCTTTTACTATGTTGTTTATGGCTGGGCCTGCATGCTAAATTAGTTGCCTAGGTTGCAAACTACTTGATTAGGGCAAAATGAGAAAAAAAACAGCATATAGGTAAACTTAAAAAATAAACTGGGCCTGCATGATTAATACAATAAAGACATGGACTATGCTGAGGTACCCTCCTTTATCTGGGGAATATTCAAACATTCCAGGCCAAGTTGCTCCTGGCTTTTTGAGCTTTAACTGATTAACTCAGGGCTTTCCTGGCCTTCATCTTTTCCCACCCCACTCATATTTATTCTCCTGCCTAACACTATGGTACTGATACTGGGGTTTTTGTTCAGAGCCAAAGAATGAACTTCACAAACACTCAAGGTAAGAGAGCAAGGGGAGAGGCTTTTACTTAGAGATAAAGTGAGAGGACAGAGCTCTTGGCTCACACCAGGAGGGGACAAGAGAGCCTGTAGTGGTGTCTTACAGTGTATTTGTAGGCAGTTGAGGATTTTTAGGAATGTGGTAAAGGGCTAGGGCCGCACACTTGTTATGTGGTCTGAGAATGCTCATTTTTGTTGAGTGACAAGAAATTTACTGCTCTGATTCTCTCTCAGGATAGTAGTTCTCTCTGGGAGCATATCAATTAAGACAGCCTACTCTGCCCCCAAGGTGGACTGGGTTGTTGTCTGTTTGCTGAAGAGTGTATTACTTCCTAACTTCTTAAGCTGTTTATAGCTGGGCTTGCTTACCAAATTAATCTTTTGCCTAAATTACAGATTACTTGATTAGGGTTAGAGAAGGAAAACCAGCATATAGGTAAAGTTAAAATCTAGGCTGGGCCCTTCAGCAAGCTAATGTAAATTTTACAATGTCATGATCTAATTGACACAAGAAGGCATGGGCTATGCTGAGATACTTTTCTTTATCTAGGGACTATTCAAACACTCTAGGCTAAATTGCTCCTGGACTTTTGAGGTTTAACTGATTTCAGTGAAGAATGCCTATATTCTCAGTTTGGTATCTACCCCTGGAGAATTAGTATGACTGACTTGGTGTAATGCTTAACACTAGTTTCAGCAGGGACTTCTTTGCACATTGTTACATTGTTCTGACTGTAATTATCTTGCTTTGACTTTTTTCCAGAGGCCCTCACTCTACTCTCCCTAAACCAACGGTCCCTGTCTCAATATGCATACTTAGTATTCACAGAGAAGTGACAATCACCTAAAAGATAAACACCAGACACTTTCCCAATGAGTTTACTGTATCAAGATTTACAGACATGGGACAAAAGAGAGGAAGGAAGGGCAGACCACACACATTGTGTTCTAGCTTTTCATAAAGCAGAGCTGTTGTTCCTGGGACTCATGAAACTTGACTAAGGCTGCTGCAAATTGGTAGCAGGTTAAAGCTTAAAATTTCCTTTATTCCCAACCACTCCTTTATTATATTTTCCTCTGTATCGTCTAATATAGAGTCTTGCCCTGATGCAAGCACCCACTATACACCTCAGTCCTGGAACAGGCAGATACTGCATTGCCAGCTATCAGTTAGAGGAGAGCGACATTATCAGAGGCACAGAGATGTTTGTTTGAGTCCCAGGTTTCAGTTCTTCGGCGTATGTTCCTGGATGCTGAATTGCTGGGTCATATATGGTAATTCTGTCGAGCCTTTTGAGGAGCCCATCCTCAGAATATTTGGAGCCCATGATGAACTGAATCTAAAGCTCAAACTAGCCCAGTCCCAGCGCAGCTACAGCGTTAAGGACACAGCCACTACTGCGCTGGCCTAACAGAAGGGGCAGGCATACCCTTGGCCAGACACCGCAGTTACTTACGTTAGGCTCCAATATTTTTTTCTGATGGTGTTTTTGTGGCTCTAATGAGATATAATTTACCATAAAATTCACTCATTGTGAGTCAGTCATTTTAAGTTGATAGAGTTGTGCAATGATCACAACAATCCAGTTTTAGAATATTTTCATCCCCTGCAAAATTCCCTTGTGCTTGCTGGCCAAGCCCTTCCCAGCACCAGGCAAACACAGGTCACCTTTCTATGTTTTCCTGTGCCAGACATGGGCATATATATGGAACCATAGTATAGATAGATGTATAGTGGAATGACTTGTTTGGATCTGGAGTCCCAAGTATGAATATTTGTCTTGTTAACTATAGTAAAGAAACCGCATTTGAAATGCAGTCGGGAAGCACTGCCGGGTGCGCTCACATGCATGGGCCACCCTGCTGCCGGCATAACCAGCAGGAAGAAGGAAGACAATTTTTACCTTGAGGATGGAGGACATTTTTCACATAGAAATTTTATTTCCTGCTTTTAAGAGCAAGAAGGAAGATCCCTCCCTGCCCCAGGAGCCACACATTAACCACTGCCTGCAGCCAAGGAGAAACTACTGCAACTTCTAACTTGTTTTCTCCAATGAACTTTTTTTCAAAACAACCCTCCCAGTTATCTCCTAAAACCTAGTAAAAGCTGATCTTCCCTTTGTTTTATTGCACTTGTCTATGGTTTGCCATAGTTTGATTGTCCTGAATTGCAATTCCTCTGCTATCCCCAAATAAACTCATTTTGTAAACCAAATAACTATCTTACTTTTAAGGTTGACAGACTTCTAACTCAGATGTGCATAAAATGTTGGATATTTTTACTTTCTCTCTCCCCCTGCCTGTAGGAGGAGAGAAATCCACCCTCAGGCATCACTGAGGCTTTGAGTGGAGGCCCTCTTTCCCTGGGGTCATGGAAAAATCCAGGAGGGATTTTAGTGCCCACAGGAGTTAGGGTCTTTTATTCTTCAGCCTGTTGCCTTGACCAGCCCATTGATGCTGATACCATCATATTCCCATAGGATTCTTACAAGGAGAGGGCAGTTTGCTGTGTTATTTACAGAGACAAGCCTGGATTTCAGAATCTGCTGAGGCTGTGGAACCAGGTTCCCAGGGTCCAATAGATGCCTCACATGGCTCCGTCCCTCCAAGAGTGTTCCCTGTGTCCTGGTGCTGCAGGGGCTGCGGCTCAAGTCTCTGAGGCTCCTGAGACCACCAGCCGCCACCTCCCTCCCCCTCTAGTGCAATCATTCTTCCCTCCAGCTGCTGTGAAAATACCCGCACCCAACCTGGGCCCTCTCCCTTCTCCCTCCAAGACACTTGGGGTAGATAATGTATTTCCTAAGATTGGGCTTTCTCAAAAGACGAGATGAGAGGTTGGTCTTCCAAGAGACCTGCAAATTCCCTTGAGGTAGGAAACACAAAGGGGCTATAGCTGCCTTCTCCAAACAGAGCAGCAGGGGGAGGAGGGGGGGAGAGGGGAGAACACAGAAAGCATGAAACGAATGAATTTCTCATGAAATAACCCACCATAATGTTTTACATTCACCTACCACAAAACCTTAGATTCCATCTACTCGCAGAAGTGTGAGAGGAGCACCACCTTGGACTATTCAGGCTAAGACAGAACTGGCTCTAACACCAGAAATAACAATAGCGTACCAGGTATTGTTCTGAGAGTCCTGTATTAACCCCTAATCCTCACAATGACCTTAGGCAGTAAGTAGGTGCTGTAGATCTAGATCCCTTATTTAAAGTCTTTGGACAAGCTGTTTCAGAATTCAGGATTTTTTGGATTTTGGAAAGGTAAGACAGTGCATGTAATTTATATAACTGCCCAAGAGGGCCTGAAGTAGCTCTCATACAAACTAATGTGCCTTCAATAAAGTAAGTAAATAATCACACCAAGTGGTCTAAATAAAGACTATAAGTAACTGGGAGGCATCTTCTCTCCTCGGTACAATGCAGATGAATATTTAGGCCTTCTAGACACAGTCCAGGACAATCCAGTAATCCCACCTGACTAGGGCACCTGAAGCATCCAGGTATCAAAAGTCAGCCTGTTCCCTGGGAACAAGAGCCCAAGAAGCATCCTGCAGGCTTTGCACACCTGAAGGTGTATTTTAAGGACAAAGTCGGTGGATGTCAGGCATGCTCGGTTAACTACAGCTAGATGTAAGGCCCCTAACAGCGATCATGGCCTCTGACGATGCCTGGGACTGCCCTCTTTCTGTGGACGCAGCGACCCCCTGTGGCTCTGGCCTTCTATAGGGACACCCAGGGGAAGACCGGTTCCACACACATTATTGACAGTTTGATTATCACCATCCCACACGGCGGTCACACTGACAAGTCAACGTCACGCGCATTGCCAGGAGTCCGGGCCTTGACCGAGCGGGCGCTGCAGGCTTAGGACACTGAGGAGACACGCAGGAGAGGGGCGGGGCCTGTGGAGGGGCGGGGACGGCAAGGAGAGCCACGGTGGAGGGCGGGGCCCTCGTCGGGGCGGAGGGGGCGGGGCGGGGCGGGGCGTGCCTCTGCTCTGGGGGCGGGGCCCGGGAAACTCCCCAGCGGAGCCGGGGAGGCCGCGCAACGGTCATCTGAGTGGTGCTGGCCCGGGTCGTCACGCCGCATGTCAACCCGAGTCTCCTTAAGACCCGGTTGTCCAGAACCGTCCCTGGTCATCGTCTGCGTCCGAGTCTGGAGCCATGCCCCAGTGGGCACGATGCCGAAGAAGCAGTGACCCCGAGAGAGGCCGAGCGCGGGCGCCGGGTGAGCCGGGGCAGGAGGCGGACAGGGGCTCAGAGAGGGCGTGGCTCCTTTTCTGCCCTGGAAGCCGTTTCCGCAGTCCCCTCCGGGACCCAGAGCCTTTGGGGTTGGCAAGGGGTGGGGCGTCCCCTCCTCTGGGAGGGCTTCCAAGGCACTGAGGAGTCTCACCGGGTGGCAAAAGGCGGCATGGCGGCCGTCCCAAAGCGCCCTTCCCCCCTTTTACCAGCTTGGCTGGCCGCAGGTGACGTCCTGTGTAGGTCACGAAGGTGGTTTAAGGGTGACATCCTCCCGCAGGTTGGCAATGATTATAGACAGCCAGTCCCTCATTATAAGGGAAGGGGTTAAGGGTACACCTTTGGAAGACAAAAACCACTCCATGCGGAGGATGTGTCCCCCGCACACTGACGAACAAGGGACCTCTGGTGGTGGGAGGTGCTGAACAGCTGAAAGAAATCCTCACAAAGCCTGGTGTCTCAGCGTGTGTGTGTGTGTGTGTGTACGTACACATACAGGGAGAGAGCATATGAGCATTTAATGAAGCTGAGAACCCCAAAGATGTTGTTTTTGCTGTTGGAAATGTGTAAGCTGGAGGCAGTAAACATGGCTAACAGGAACACTGTTATGTAGTAAAACCCACTTTTATGAAATGTTAGTGCCAGCATCTCATACTGTGCAAAGATGAATTGTATAGAAAGCCAGAAGCTGGCTTTACTCAAATAATTTTTATAAAAATTATTGTATGCATAAAAATCCAAATTATTTTCCTGGAGAAGACTAAAGCAGTCTGTTGTAGTCACCTAGTGCTAAGAGGGCACCCTTCAGCATTAGACCTCTTTCGTAAATGAATTAGGGTATGTGACATATAGATGCCTTCAGAAGGTTCGCAATTGAATCTGATGCTTTATTAGTGTTTTCACTTTGTAAAATCACCACCATCCTCAAGGAATTTCACAAGAATGCTTTTTCATTTTGCTAGCTTTCCAGGGAGATGTCATGCAGGCTGTAGCGCCTGGGTCCACTCTCCTGTCAACAGCACTGTCTCTGATGACCTACAAGGCCCTTCAGGCCTAAGCAGGTCCGTGTGTTTGGTTGCATTTTACTCCAGGTGCACTGAGCAAGCTCTCATGGATGTTAGGACACAGCATCCTAGAGAGGGTGCTTCTCTTTCTTCATCTCCCAGTGACTCAGTGACTCTGCAGTTCCTCCTGGAAAGACTTATTAGCATCATCTTAACGAAATATGAGAAAGAAAATGTTTGCCTGTAGCATGTAGCTAGTCATTACAAGAGATTTCTGTGTTTGCCCAGGTGGTAGCCATACAGAAGTGGAGCTGGGATATACTCATCTATCATATTTATGTCCCCATTAAAACCCTGCTACAAAATAACGTGGTATGCTTAAAATTGTCTCAGAATATGAAATAAATAAGTAAGATTTCTTAGTGTTTTTAGTGTGCTTTGCAAAATTATTGCTTATCAAAAGCTAAGTATTCAGTAGTACGAAATGACATTATGTCCCGACTCAAAACGAATCATCCTTGATATAGGGTTGTGCCTCTTATAACATGACCTTGGATGAGCTATAAAACTGTGAACTCACCTCCATCACCTGTAAAATAACTATCTAGCTGAATGTCAGTGAGGGTAGAAAACATGTCTGGTGTCGTGATTCAGCACATAGTAAGCATTCAGAAATATGTTCTCCTCTTCTCCAAAAATACAAGAAATAAAATATGGAGGTTTTTAACAGCTTTATTGAGATAAAATTCACATGCCCTACAATTCACCCAAAGATTTGTGTGGAAGAATCAATTTAATGATCCTTTGCCCATATCTGCAAATATGTATGTATATAAATATATAGGAACCCTATTGAATTGCTTGTGTTAGGATTCCCAAGCATCATATCATGCCTTTCTCTGCTCCTCCATTTCCCAGCTCTTCACTGTACCCCTTTATACACAGACACACACAGGCACACTGAAGCTAAGATATACCTTTCTGTTTAAAAGGAAAAATATTCTAAATATAATTGGAGAGAAAGTAGGCAACTTTTGGAACACTTACTAGTAATTGCTAATGGAACTGTGGGACTCATGGGGACCCCATGTAGAAGGGGACAGCTACAATTTCAGCTTGTGACTTTTCCATAGATACTGCTGCCATGTCCCACCCCAACCACTTAGCTGCCTGACTGAGAAGGGGGACAGCCCCAATGAAACCACAGAAAATGGACCCCCAAATCTGGCTCACCCAAACCTGGACACGTTCACTCCAGAGGAGCTGCTGCAGCAGATGAAAGAACTCCTAACTGAGAACCATCAGCTGAAAGGTGAGCAGCACCTTGCCCACCCGCCGGCCATGTTTCTCCATTCACCTGGGGCCTTCATGAGTGGAATCCCTTCGCTATAGGCTTGTGGGCAAACTGCCTTCTCTGTTTCCCTGAGGGGAGAAAGAGAACAGAATTTAGCATTTGATAAGGCTAAAATTCTTTCCATTATTTATGTTTGGATACAGGTAACAATAAAAAGTACTTTCTCTATCTCAAGGAAATGGCATAATGACAGTCCATTTAAAAGGAAAAGGGAAAAAAGGATGCTGTTATTACAGAGTTATTCCTCAATATTATTTGTTAAGAGAAAGCATTCTGGTGTCTCAAACCATGGCTTTTGGCAGGACCAGTGTTTGAATCTGTGCTACAGTGGAAGACCCAAATCAATTTTATTTTCTGGTGACTTTTGAGGACTAGAAATGACATTAGACCCACTAGTCTAGCCTGGAAGTAAAAGCCACTTATTCGCTCTAGTCTTTTTCCTGCTGACCGTAGGATGCAGGCCAAGCCTGGCATCTTAGATTCAGAGGTATGAGGTGAAGGATTCTAAAGGGGATTTGATTCATCAGATCAAGTCTGGTGTGTGACACCCTCCCTCTGAACCCCTCACAGAGGCCATGAAGCTAAATAATCAAGCTATGAAGGGGTGATTTGAGGAGCTTTCAGCCTGGACAGAGAAACAGAAGGAAGAACGCCTTTTTTTTGAGATACAGAGCAAAGAAGCCAAAGAATGTCTAATGACTTTGAGTCATGAAAATGAAAAATTGAAGGAAGAACTTGGGAAACTGAAAGGAAAAATGGGAAGGTCATTTGAGGTGAGCAGACTGATCAGTTGTGATTTTGTTTTATTAATATTTATCATGGAATCTTGTTTCTCTAGACTTCTAGACCAAAAGCTTTCATGGTTCAGACTAGACAAGTGTTTTGCCTTGTCTTGAAAGCAGGGTTCTTGCTGAGAAAATCGGTTGTAATTTCAAGGGTCATGTATAATCTCTGTTGGTGGAAAGAAATTTGTAAAGCTTTGACATATTGATTATAGGCAAAAGAGTGTTGTGGTTATAAATCACTATTTTGTATTCATTATGGATGGTGCTGAAAGACCTCTGCCTAGAACCATCCAAGTGTTCTAGTTTTAAATTTATATCTTTGATATAAAATTACATTTAAAAATCTATTTCTCATACGTATTACTTATTAACCTTGTCCTTTCTCTCATTCTAAAATAGAGATTCCTTACTTTACATTTTACTTTCACTTTTGAAAAATGGTTTGACAAATGTTGTAATAGGAGGGTATTGGGTTACCACATTTTCATTGACCCAGAGAAGCTGGGAAATGTGCTCATACCTGAGAGTGAATGTCAGTACAGATCAGAACACATTTGACAGGTCTGCCCATATCTCAAGGCTCACTGGGTATCATCCACTTAGATGGACAGCTGCTGTTCATTTTCTTCCAACCCTGGAATTTAGCAACCCTTTGAAGGAGGTAATCCAAGATGTCAGTGATTTTTGTTGAGGTACCTTGAACTTTGTTGATCTCTGATTTCTTGGGTAAAGAATGCAAAGAAATAAAATGGGAAGAAAATAATGAGAAGGGGATATGTTTAATCTGAAGAATGAAAAGTTGTTTAGGAAAATGTTATAGGTTATATCAGTGTTCTTACTCGTCAACTCCTCATGGAACATTGAGAACATTCTGCTTTAATAAATCTATGTATGTATGGGAAATGTCTCATTATTGATAAGATTTATCATGCCTGATGCTTCAACTTGTCTTATAGTTCAAAGAATACTAAGTCACTTCATTGGGGGCAGTATCTCATTACCTAAATATTTTTGAGGTAGAATACTCTGAAGAAATCATCATCTGGGATATATGAATAATTTTCTATTCTCTGGAAGAAAATATCTTACATTGCTTTCTTCCCTTGGCTTTTGGGATGTGAGCTGACAGTTGGCATTTACCTGCTGGGGCCTGTAACATACACTGAAACCAACAAAGAAGCTTCCAGAAGCAGTTTGTCTGTTTGAGATAGTCTGCCTTTAGGTTTTCCTAAAAGGCCCCAGTATTGGAAGATGTTGAGGTTAGAAGCTGGAGCTCTGGACAGCTTCTTTCAGTGCAGACATCAGTTGAAGCAAGCTACGAACAGGACTCATAAATGAGTCCTTGGGACAAAGTAACAGTTCTTTAAAACCCTTGGTCATGAGCTTTCTCCCACAGAAACTACCTCCCAGGCCCACCCACTGCTTCCCTCCTCTTCTTTAATTTTTGTTTTATTGACCGTTTGAAGTGATTCTTAAAATTTAGGCCCTCATCTTCCTGACTTAGTAAAGATCTCAAGGCTTCTGACTTTTCTCACTAATGCTGGTCTACCTTTGCTGCTGTTTGTACAGGGAATCCTCCCCACCCCAAGCCATCAGGGTCTCTTATGTGGTTCATCTCCCATGAAGGAAGGGAATCTGGAACTTCTTTTGGAGATCTGCCTTCCCATCCTCAGGGTGAGGCTGAGGGATTAATGGTTCTATCCAATTTTACAGAATTATACATTTTAATTATCTCTAGGTACTTTTTAACTTTAATTGTACAGATGGCTAGGCAAAGGTCATTAGATAGACTTTTCTTCCGGCATTATAAAATGGCATGCTAACTTGGGCAGATTTCCAGGATAGCAACATCGCATAAGTACACAAAAATTGAAGTTGTTGTATGCACAAAGGTCAATGGTAAGTTCTCAGAATTAACAAAAGACGGTAGCAAATAATGGAGTTGAGGTAGAGAGAAAATAACCATGGTAGTTTTAGTCCAGGAAGGCAATGGAAAGAGTCTCAGTAGGGAAATGAAGAGAAGTTTAAAGTGTTATCTTAAAAAAGGTATTTTATGGCCAAATTCCCAAGGACAGTTAAGGGATCCTCACAATTGTGGAACAGAAAATGAAACTGGCAGTCTGAGATCCTAGAGCCATCGCCTTATATCCATGGTCTCAGACTCTCGTTTAAAACTGTATCTCCTACATTTATGCCAAGGTGGTTTTTTAAAATCCATTCTATTAAGTGTCCTCAGAGACTACCAGCAGGGAAGTGTGGAGATTCCGAAGGGGGCTTCATTTTCCCATACCTGTTTGCTCCTGGGTCCAGGCTAAGCACCACCCTTCCTTTGATATTTTCATTCCTTTAAAGTTATGTTTCTTTGGTGTGAGTCATTACTAGGAGAGACTGCACAGGCTTTAACTTTTCCTGATAGACCTGACTCCAGTTTCACAATATGTTCCTCTCTCTAAGGCCTGTGGTTGTTTCCTAGCAAGGAAGTGCTCCCAGTGAAGGGCATGATCTTACTGGTGTGAAGGGCCCTTCCAGATTGCAAATTAATACCTATACCTATCCCTTCAGTTTTTAATACTTCATGGACTAGCTGGGTTTGGTCCATATACATCCTTTCTGATTCTTTTTTGGTTCTATTGCAAGCCTTTGGGCCTGTTTACCATTGCTTAGGAAATTTGTCTCAGAGAGTGTGTGTGTGTGTGTGTGTGTGTGTGTGTGTGTGTCTGTGAATTTTCTAATGTGTTGCAGTTCTCTGATAATCTCAAGTGTATATATTTCTGGTGATGCCATGCCCATAAGAACAATAAAGTTTTCCTGAGAAAATCAGAGAGACCTAGAAGTCACAAGTACAGTATAAAAACTGTACTTGTTTTTAAGTATAACATAAGACCAAAGAGATCACAGAAACCATGTGGTATCATGTCTTCCTTTCTAATCCAAGAAAACTGAGACCAAAATACCAAGTGAATCTGCTCAAGGCGGGACACTTACAGTGATTACCAGAGAGTATAGATTTGAATCTAGTCTTCCTACTCCCCAAACACCACATCTAAACAGGATCATTCCTTAATTGCAACAGGATGAACACAACACATACTTGACATTACGGAAATATTACTGTTTATAAGTGTTTGTATAGGCCAAATTTTATTTTTTTTCCTTTGGTACCAGCCTCTGAATTTTTAGTTTTCTTATTTCTCACCAGACTTAGTTTAAGACCCTTAAAATACCAACATAGTATTATAGCAACTAACCTATACCTGGGAGAATCTTGGACCTTTCACGTGTTTTGCCATTAATGTACCAAGCAAAGGCCTTGGTGCTTTGGCTTCTAAGTAGACATGACAAGTAGGAGAGAGGGACTGGGTATACATTTGTGGGGAGGGAGAAAAAGGCAAGAGGTGGAGTTGTGGCAGTTTTTGTCCTTATCTTCTGGAATTTTGTTTACAAGCCAACCATCACCAAAGTCTGGTTGGTTATTTTCATATCACGTTATTCCAGCATGCTGGGGAAGCCCTTCTTTCTTTCTTTTTTCAACAGTTGAAAAGATATTTAATTTATTATAATAATTTTTTTTGTAGATAAAGAAATAAGGGTTTTTTTGGTGGACAAAATAATTACATTTAGCAATATTACTTCTGTGTGTTTTAATTAGAATAATTCAGATTTCTTTTAGGAATCATTGTAAGCTTAGGGTCCTGTTTGCAAATAATAGACATATAAATGTCATATACATTTAGACATATGCAATAATTCATAGTATAGCCTTTTTTAAAGATTTTTTTATTAAAGTATTGTTAATGTACAATCTTATGTTCATTTCCATTGTATATTACAGTGGCTCAAGAACTACCCACACTATCAAGTCCTCACTTCCTCTAGTGTGGTTACTATCTATAAATGTAGAAAAATGTTACAAAATTATTGACTGTATTCTCTGTTGGAGGAGCCTTTCTTTCTTATCATGGGGTTATTTTCATTTACTTTAACTACAATAAAGTAATGTAAAAATCTCCATTTTAAATATCAACATAAGTTGCCAAGGAGAAGCTAGAATTTTCCACTGTAAAGCACAGGCACCTTGCTAATGGGTGTGAGGCACCTGAGTTTGATGGCCAGGTGTTAATTTGATTCATTAACTTGCTTTGCTCCTCTTCATTTCCAGGACCCCACTGGGGACTCTAAGGTCCCCAAGGCAGAAACGGACCAGGAAATAGAGCAGCTGAAAACCCAAGTGGCACGCCTACAAGCTGAAAAGGCAGATCTGCTTGGTATTGTGTCCGAATTACAGCTCAAACTGAACTCAGATGGCCCCTCTGAAGACTCCTTTGTTGAAATTAGGATGGCTGTAAGTGTTTTGGTTTTAGTTTGGGCTTAAGCAAGTTACAAAAACCTCACCTAGACAGCTGATACAAGTACCACCACTTCCTTTCAATATACTGAAGCCAAATACTGGGAAATTTCAGCATAGCCAAGATATATTTGCTCTTGTTTTTAAAATAACATAATGCTTGTAAGATTTCTCATAGCTGAAATGGAAAAATATCAATTACCTCTTATGACAAAAGAGATAATCCTTTTTCTTCCCAATATGTCTGGCAAATCAGACATTCTGTGACTGAGCCAAAAAAAAAAAAAGCATAAACTTTTCAGACCAGATCTCAAAGCTGTGCTCAACATTTCGTTTAGGTGAGCCTAATTGTGATCAAATGCAGTAAATAGTGGCTTTAAAACACTTTTTAATGATAGAACCCTCTTTTCAAACAAGGTCTTATGAGGAAACTTGGTTTCTTAAAAACAAAAAGTGGAGAAAAGAAAGAGCAGAGCTGCTCTGGGTGTGGGTTGAAGGACTATCTTGGCTTTGCCCACCTTCTAATAGCTTCTCAGGGGCCTGAGAATGGAATTTGAAGCTGGTGTTAACTCGAACTTATGTGCAGCTTAAAATGAGGTAAACTAAGTGTGGTGGCATGTGCTGATCCATTCCTAAGCCCACAGGAAGCATCTGTAACAGCTGCCGTATCTGGGTGAATGGGAAGCAGCACAGCTAGATGAACCATGGAGGGGTGTCTCTTTCACTGTTATTAAAAAAGATTGAGTAGTGAGGGAAAAAAACACACGAGGATAAAATCCTCTGTATACACACTGTTTAGCTTTGTCAGAGTGCACATCTGATATGGGAAAAGAGATTAATTGTGTCTCAGAAAGAGAAAAATATACCTTGTAGATAAGTTGGGGAGAGCTGGCAAAAAGCTAAATTATGGGATATGTCTGAAATACTAGTGTGTGGCTACTTTGCTTTCTAATTCATTTACTATATGACTCAGAAAATGGCTTGTAATAACTTTGCCATCCACACCCCCTAATAAGTTTCTGGATGCATACATAATGGCCAAAATCAAGAAAATTAAAATACCAAATGAAAAGCACACTTTCTGCAGATGACCAAAGATGATGAAACACGATTTCTATCAAAGAGCTTTAACCTTCTGCAAATAACTGATAACATTCAGGAAGCCTGAAGAGCCTATTAGAAGTTTCCAAATGAGGCTTCTTCATTCAGGTTGCATGGTTAGCATAATGTAACCCCTCACTGGTGAGCGATAGTTCATTGTAAACATGCTTTTCTTGTCTTGCTTTTGTGAACTGGAAAATACTGTCCAAGATTTAGGAAAAATGTACACAGTCAAAATTATCTAGAACCGTCTTTGTGCAGTTTTGAAAGATTCTCACTCATTGGGATATAAATGTCTTACAAATAATTTCAGTGGTCTTAGTCTTCATGTTTCCTAAGTGGCCCAAGATGCATATGAATTTCTAATGGGAGCCTTGCCTACAGAAACAGTTTCTTTTTCAGTGTTGCTTCAGCAGGATCTAGTATTTTGCATTTTAAAGGGGTAACGGGGAAGATACATGGAGTTGTTACTAGCTCTCTGTGACCTTAGCTTGGGAAAGAAGGGAACTGCCAGTGAAAGAGGGCAAGAGAGAAGCCTTCGTGTGTATGGGACCAGGCTGACTGCTCACAGGCTGAATGAGAGAGGCTGACCTTCGCACCTGCACCTCAGTGTTTCTGTATTTGTATTTATCTTGATGGGGTATGCAGGTGAGGGAAGGGTAAATTTCCATTCTGTTTGAGTGGCCAAATTTAAATATCTACATTTGAGTGTTTGGTGCATTCCTTGGGTTGCATGTCATCAAAATTCTTATCTTTAACCTTTTTCTCTTCTGATAAAAAATTTGTCTTGCAGACATATTATGTTAAATCCCTTTCATTTCTGCTTTTATAGGAAGGAGAAGCAGGTGTGGCATTGAAAGAAGTCAAGACAAGCTCTGGGCCCATAAGAACTGATTCCCTGGACACACTGTACGTGAGGTAAAGCCAAGGCTGTCTTTTGGACAGACACACTGGACAGTCCTGTCACTTTCAGCTTGACAGTGGGAGGCTAACATAATGAGCTGAAAAAATCACTTCTCACTGATTTACACTAGGGTCTTTCAAGAATGTTTGGTTTGAATGCTCTTTACCAGACTGGCAGGGGACAGAAACAGTGTTTGGTGCCTTTAGGCTAACTGACCTGGGCCACTCTTAGAGGTGTTTCATCTCCATCAGATGAGAAGTGAAACAAAGCTGTTCTCAAAAGACCCATGTTTCCTTATTTGTTCACCAGTGCAGTCTGTCGTGGGCCAGAAGGCCCAGCCTGATGAGTAGGATTTTCCATTTTCTCTTCCTTGTTCATTCCCAAGCACAAGCCAAAGTGTAATCCTTTGTGACAATGACTGTTACTGCTCTGAGTCACTGTGGTGTTTCCTGAAAGTGTCCAAATATCTGACGGGTCGAGTCTCAAGTTGACCTGTCTCAAGTAAATGTGAGGAAGCAAACATCTTTAGTGGTGGGGGGACATGAGGAGGACATGGTAGAAGGAGGCCCCTGAGACTCTTGTGGATGGTACCCAGAACAGGCTGTTAGCCCATCCTCTATGAATGGGCTACCACTCTGTTAGTCTACTTAGAAGAGGCAATTTCTCTATGGATTGCTTCCCTCCTAGGCTCTTAATATCTTCTTTCTATAACTTGATTGATGTACTTACAAAACATGGAAATGCTTTTTTTTTCAGTTATATTCCTAAGCCCTTGTATAAAGGAGAAAATAAGGATTAGACAATATTCTTTCATCAAAACAGGGCAGTTGGCACAAATGAAAGTTATTTCCTTTTATAGTTAGAAATTCCTTAACATTCCCCTACATGGCTTTTTTTTAATATCAGAAGACTTTCCTGGAAGTGGTAGGAAGGAAGAAAGCCCTGTTTGAAATTTCCAAGCCACTTCCTCCTCATTTATATCCACATGCAAACACCACTTCCTCTTCTAAGCCACAGCTGTTTTTTTTTCCAGTTATGCATTGCTTTAATGAAAAAATAACATGAAATCCATCAATGTCAGCAAGAATCTAATTTCAGAGAGTTTTAAACAAGAAGCACAATCTTGAAGAATGTGCTGATATGTGTGTGGATCAAATGCCTGTCAGATGTATTTACCCACTTCTAGTTTACAGACCCAACAAGTCATCTAAAATGGTTTTGGCTTTAGGAAGACTTATTAATTGCTATAAAATCTTTATTTTAAACAATTAAACTCAAAAGTCAGCAGTTCTTACATTTACAACTTATATAAAGTCAAATGTGCTCTTAGTGTTTCTTACTATTTATTTTTTATTTTGGTATCATTAATATAAAATCACATGAGCAGCACTGTGGTTACTAGATTCTCCCCATTATCAAATCCCCACCACATACCCCATTACAGTCACTGTCCATCAAGGTAGTAAGATGCTATAGAGTCACTACTTATCTTCTCTGTGCTATACTGCCTCCCCGTGCTCCTCCCTACATTATGTGTGCTAATCGTAATACCCCTTACTCCCCTTATCCCTCCCTTCCCACCTACCCTCCCCGGTCCCTCTCCCTTTGGTAACTGTTAGTCCATTCTTGGGTTCTGTGAGTCTACTGCTGTTTTGTTCCTTCAGTTTTTGCTTTGTTCTTATGCTCTAGAGATGAGTAAAATCATTTCGTACTTGTATTTCTCCGCCTGGCTTATTTCACTGAGCATAGTACCCTCTAGCTCCATCTATGTTGTTGCAAATGGTAGGATTTGTTTTCTTCTTATGGCTGAATAATATTCCATTGTGTATATGTACCACATCTTCTCTTCCATTTATCTACTTATGGACACTTAGTTTGCTTCCATTTCTTGGCTATTGTAAATAATGCTGCGATAAACATAGGGGTGCATATGTCTTTTTGAAACTGGGATCCTACATTCTTAGGGTAAATTCCTAGGAGTGGAATTCCTGGGTCAAATGGTATTACTATTTTGAGTTTTTTGAG